TCATATTTCATTTTGGACCAGGACATTAGCTGTATAGCTTGAAGACTTTCTAGATAAACACGGCACATTGAATCAAAGGTCCATGTAATGAACCATTTCTTTTGGATTTCATCATACATGCCCAATGAATTCATGGCTCTTTCATAATTTTCCAGATGTTCAGATATGTTTCCTGAACCTCTAGAAAATTGTGGGACTGTCTCTTTAAGGAATTTAATAACCTTTGGCGTTTCATAAACAAGCATATTTGATTTATTAATCCTGTTTCTGTTCTCCTTTCTTTTTGGTAAACGTCTATGCGATCCGGCTGCTGAAGAGGAATTAGATCCGTACAACAGTGCAGATGGCATATCATTCACATGGCCTTCAGAGTGGACAGTGCAATCACTTTCACTCCCATCACTCTGAGCTTCTCGTTCACTGTCACAATTCTGATCTGCATCAGAGTAATGCCAGTGTACAGAACCATGTCTGTTTTCATTCCTATCACCTGGAACCTGATTCCCTCCGTCAAGTTTGGCCAAGACAGTCTTTTCAAACTGTTCTGCCCAAGCTTGCCAAGATTGCTTGGTAATGTCAGGAGATGGGGAATCTTGTTCCACAGGTGATTTCTCAGAATTACTCACATCTTTTCTTTGAGACTGTTTTATGAAAACCTGGTCTGGTGTGTGAATATCAGGGAATTGAGAAGAATCGCCTGGGTCTTTTCCCAGTAATTTTTCACTTTCCTTTTGATATTCATCTAATTGTATTTGTATCTGTTTTATCTGTTGATCATAATCATCCACCATTTTGCTCATTCCTTCCAGTCTATTTGAAAGGTCAGAGTTTTTAACCTGAAGGATATTATTTTCATCAGACAAAGTGTTGAACCTTCTTTGTTCGAGCACCAGGTCTTTCTGACACGCGTCCAATTTAAGTTCTATCTCATTATGCTTTTTTAACATAAGTGAATAACCCAATATGAAAAACGGGCATGATTTGGTAACAGACTGCATTGTAGAGTCTTCGTCTATGTTGCTAAAATGTTTAACCATAGGTGAATTATCCGAGCTATCATGAATCGAATTATAAACTTGTTCTCTAATTTGGAGTACCCACTCTTTATAATCCATTTTAATCTTTAGATGGTTATATAAGATGCTAAAGGGAAAAACTTGTATTTCTGCTAACTTCTTCCCATTCTCTGATTGAGATGAAGCGCTGGATTCAGCCATTTTTCTATACACTGATTTAATCTCAATATAAAATTCTCTTCTATATCAAGATTAATATTGCATGAAATACACCAATAGCGACGCCTTAGAATTATTGTATGGAATATAATTTCAACTTAATGATCTCAGCAGTGTGCCTCCAATATGTGGGGATATTTATGGGATGATAATATTAAACAGTCAAGAATCGCCCACTATTTCAATTCTCTTAGATCTTAGAGATCGTTATCATGTAAGTGAAATGTATTCCCCACAAATAAAATCACAATTTGTTATAAAAATAGATTTAATTTATTGTGACAAATAAAATAACAATAATATTAGGCAGCATGCATGATAATAATCAGTGAATATTTAGTATAACATAAGTATGCAATACAATGGAATGGCTATACATGTTCCAATGGCTAACAGCATCACCTGTCACTTAATAAGATTTATGAGGGTACTTCACAGACAGAAAGTAAAGCTTCACACAGCGAAAAGCCATAAAACCTTGGCTAACAGTTAAATCAACTGAGTAACCCTTTCAATGCTGGTTAGATCCTCCTAGCCATATAATATCCTATTCTCATGTAATTTTCAATTAAAATAACATTCGAACCAACTCATTAATCATTTCCTGGAACCATCCAATAAGAATAATCTACCAGATTCTATAAGCTGAATTTTTAATTTGCCTAAAAAAATATCTTATCTTATATTAGAGCAAATCAATACACCTGGGTAAAAACAACGGTATGCTAACACGTGATACTATCATTAATATATAATTATTCTTAATTCCACCAGCAGAATGGAATGTTTATAACTATATATTCTTTAGTTAACTAAGATTTCTAAATATTGAAATCTGACCTTGATTTATCCAGTCATATATCATGCTATTAGTAAATTTTTTATTAATTTAAATTAATTAAATAAAACCAGCATAATTACCAGTTATGTAGGTATTCTCATCAGATGAGTAGGTAGTCCCAGGAACTTGCGAGTATGATTGGTTGTATGGAGGTGCGTGAGTAATAGAGAAAAGTGATGTTGGTTAGAAAGTATCAGTAAATTTTAAGTGTCAAGGAGTTTAAGAGTTGAGTGTTAGTCCCAGAGAGTGTCCTGAATCTCTCTCTCTGCATGTCCGAATCTGAATGCCCAAAACTCTACCAACTAACTTCTCTCTTCCCTTTGTCCTAACTTTTAAAGGGCCAGACTCTCTGTACGTAATTAGTTGATAAGGCCAATAGGAAACTGAAGGTGGGTTCAATCTATGGATCGCAATTTAGGTATTTGGTCCACAGAGGGCAGTCTCGCCTTACTAAACCTTCCTATCCAGGAAAGAGTTAACTTTTCCTGATGACGATTTTGAACTCATTTGGCTTATCTAAAATGACTACCATAACTTAAATTTGCTGTCAGTTCAAAGCGTTTGTCTCAGTCTATGTGGCAACTACTTTGATCGTAAATTCTAAAATTGACAGTTCTAAACTCAATTTCACCCCTTACTTATAATGAGACTTTGTAAAATTTAGAAAGTAAAATTAATTAGTCTTCTCTGTCACTAGTGTCTGTGTTTAAAATTATTTCTATTCTATTAACATTTAAACAGAGAATTCCATCCCCCTGCTTCATTGCTTATCACTTGGCTTGTTTATATAATGCATTCCTTAGCTCAGGCTCAGTGGTTAGTGAAAGCAAGGAAATTATGTGTCTTTGTTATCCTGAAGATAGCAAAATGGAGTCTGCTCTGTTCTGAGTGACTCTGGTAATATACACTTTTAATTTCTATTTTAGCACAAAATGTCTGCCGATATAAATATCCTGACAGTCTCAGTCCTTCCCCCAGCCCCTCCATTTGTCTCATTTCCCCGAAATCCCCTCCATGTGTCTCATTTCCACCCCAGCCCCTCCATGTGTCTCATTTTCCCCCAAAGCTCCTCCATGCATTTCATTTGCTCCCCAGCACCTCCATGTATCTCTGCCCCACTTCCTTCTGGCACCTGCTCACTGCGTACCCGTCTGACCGGAAGTGCTCTCTCAGTGAGCACTTACTGTCAGACCGCTCATACACGCTACATACTGCAGCAACACTCCCCTCCTGCCGGTAATCCAGCAACCACAGAGGCGGGCTAGACCTCCCAGGGCAGTCATTGACTTTGCCGCTCCTCTCAGCCTGACCTCATCACTAAGGCAACGCCACAGTGTGGGGAATGCAAGGGGCAGGGATATGAGGTGATTCATATCTCCGTCAGCTCCACACAGGCTACGACATGCTCCAGAGCCGGTGGACCAGGCGGAGGTACTGGCGAAGCTTGGCCACGCTACATGAATTGACCGTCAGGAGAGCAGTGTAAGCGCCGGAAGGGGGGGCATGGATCAGTTTTCGCACCGGGGCCCCATGGATTGTGTGTACGCCACTGTGTGGTAGGTATGCCACTGGTGGGATGAGTGCATTTCCTCTCTTTAACAAGTTTTCAAAGAACTACATGACTCAGGGTATTGAGAGAAAAGATGGATGCCCGTCAGAGTGACCATTGTATTGCCAGAACATTCTGCACTAATGCTTTTGGATGTAACCACCTGGAGTTAAAAGGTGACCTCATATTATAGAAGAACCAAGCTTATAAATTTAAAGCCTCCCTCCTTTGAACATTTGATGGAGCTATTGTTCCAAAAAAAACCATGGAGGAATTCTAGAGTGTAACCTGAGTTTACAATGGATCTGCATCAATTGAAGTGCTCTCGGATAAACTGTCTTCAGAATGACTTGGTGCAGAAAGGGCGAAGAGGCTTTGTTTATTGAGGATTTTGAAGACAGTCCACTTCTTGAGTTGGATGTACTGGAGTACTCTCTATTAGGCATGGAAGACTGTCTGTCTTAAAATAACTGCTGTTCCATGTATGTTTGGAATCTAAATGTGTCCATTGTGATGTTTAGGAAGAAGTACTTGGCGGACATCTGGAGCCTTCTTGGTGGCGTGTTCCAATGGTTTGCCAAAGAGACCTTCACTCTGAAAATGGATGTAGCAAAAAATTATGTTTAGAGTAAATGTCTGTCTTGCGAGGTCTCCTATTGTAAAGGATTCTGCATTGGAAGTTCAGTATGTGGATTGTAGCATACCCTTGCTCTGACCCCACTAAATGAGCCCTGACATGGCTACAGGTCTACCAGAATCACAGAGGCTATCTTTACTAAGTACTGAGTTGAAGTCCAGAAACTGTCCTCAGGTCCAGGCAAGGGATTAGTCTGGGTAGCTGTTATGTCTTCTGGAAATGGAGCAATTAAATGATCAATGGAATTGAAATCTATTGAACTGGATTTCAGTCCAGGTTCACCACCATCCCAGTAAATAAAGGGTAAGCACCGTGAGTATGGAATTAGGTTGCAGCAATTATTATTATTTTACATGTGCAATAGTTTTATTCTGAATTGAATTGAGAATATTCTGAAGTTGGCAGAATCCGAAATGCAACAAAATAAAAAAAATTGGGACAAATTTTCTGATTTATTCATTTTCGTAAGGATAGCAAACTAGGGACTTATATTAAGCAATTAATAATACAGCTTTGTTCCCTTAATTTTGTTCTTTTAGCTGTTTAGAAGGTACTAGATAAGTCCCTAATTTGATATACTTAGTTATGGCAATGTGAAGCAAAGATACCAAATTAGGGAACTATCCACTAAAGACTTTTCTTCAATTAGTTTTTGTAAGCTATTTAGTGGATTCCTCCTTAATTTTGTACCCTTATGTAGGATTTCATTATTTAAGGATACCAAAAATAGGGCATTGTGTACAGGGCCGGCCCAAGACATTGTGCTGCCTGAGTCCAAGGATGAAATGCTGCCCTCCCAAAATTTTGCGCACGTCTGTTATGTTATACAGTGTGTGTAGTGAATGCAGTGTCTGTGTAGGAGTTGCTGTGTGTGTTTATTGTATGCAATGTGTATAGTCAATGCATAGTCAATGTGTGTGTGTGTGTAGTAAATGTAGTGCAGTGGGGTTTAATAAGGGCTGTGAGGGGAGATAAGTTTTTTTTTTAATATTTATAATTGAGTTGTTTTACCCTAAGGAGGGGACACATTTGTTTCCTTGGTGGTCCGGTGACACAGCATGCTGTGTCCTATTGCACAGTCTGTTGCTCTACATAATTCATTTTCTGCACTTTCAGAGTGTAATGGTGTTGTGGAGAGAGGCACTGAGGCTAGTGGTGTTGTGGAGAGAGGCAATGAGGCTAGTGGTGTTGTGGAGACAGGCTTGGAGACTATGGTGAGGCCTAATAGAAAGCAGTTGTTGTTGGGGGATTCCATCATAAGAGGTGTGGAGATGGACAATGGTGGTCTTGTGAGGTGTCTTCCCGGAGCTACTGCTCACAGAGACAGGAGACGTATCTGTAATATTGTTAAGCGAGCAAAGTAGGAAGGGGAATTGGATGTACTTGTCCATCTAGGGACAAATTATTTGGCTTGCAATGAGGTTTCAGAGGTTAAGGAAGTTTTTAGTGTTTTTGCAAATGATATATGGCAGGTTGCTTCCACACTGTCATTCTCTGAAGTTCTGCCTGTGCATAACACTCAGAACGACAGGCGGATGCGTATTAGGGACTTTAATTTGTGGCTTGGTGAATGGTGTCGGGAGCAAGGATTTGGCTTTATTTCTCATGGTAGCTCTGTTTGGAATGGAAATAACCTGTACAAAAAAGATGGTTTGCATCTTTCTCAAAAGGGAACAAATATTCTCAGTGAGCAGTTCAGAGGTTTTGCTAGGATGTATTTAAACTAGGAGGGGGGGGCAAAAGGGTGATAAAACATCAATCCAATTGTCCCCCAAAACAAGGACAGAAGGTGCCTGTAGCAAGTGTGTTAAAAAATGATAAGCTTAGAGTCATGTCTACAAATGCTCGCAGTTTAGGGAATAAGATCCATGAACTTGTGGCAATAATGGCAACTGATAGTGTAGATTTAGTCGCTGTTACTGAGACATGGTACAATGAGAAAAATGACTGGGACATAGCAATACCAGGGTACTCTTTATATAGGAAAGATAGGGAAGGCAAGAAAGGGGGAGGGGTGGCCTTGTATGTGAAGGATAGCATAAAATCTAGCCTAATAAAAGTTAGTGAGGCGAACATAGAGTCTGTTTGGGTTACGTTAGAATTTGGTAATCACACAGTAACTCGTGTAGGTGGGATTTATAGGCCCCCAGGACAAATTGAAGAGTTAGATAATCTACTAGTTGAGGAAATAGCTAAAATGACAATGAAGGGGGAAGTTATCATCATGGGTGACTTTAATCTTCCTGATGTAAATTGGAAAACAAAAATAGCTGCTTGTGCCAGGAGCACACATGTTCTAAACTCCCTACTGGGATTGTCTCTAAAACAAGTCGTTGAGGAGCCAACTGGTAAAGAGGCCATACTAGATTTAGTGTTAACAAATGGAGATTTGGTATCAGATATTACTGTAGGTGAAAGTTTAGGATCCAGTGATCATCAGTCAGTGTGGTTTAATATAAGAACAGTGACTGAGTCACACCACACAAAAACAAAAGTTTTAGACTTTAGAAAAACAGACTTTTCTAAAATTAGAATATGTGTAGAGGAGTCATTATCAGACTGGAGCAATTTAAATGGAGTCCAAGAGAAATGGGATTATTTAAAAGTTGCACTACTGAAGGCAACAGAAAATTGCATTAGGCTTGTCAGTAAAAGCAAAAAATTCATGAAACCACTGTGGTACTCCGCAGATGTGGCCAAAATAGTTAGCATTTAGTAATTATAAAAAAAAACAGAGTGAGGAAAAGAAAATTATTCTATAAGATTAGGCAGAAAGAGGCTGAGCAAGTTATAAGAGCTTCCAAATCACATACAGAAGAGAAAATAGCACAGTCAGTAAAAAAGGGATACAAAACTTTTTTTAGATACATAAATGAGAAAAGAAATGTAAAACAAGGATTAGTTAGATTAAAAACAAAAGAAGGAAGGTATGTAGAAGAGGATAAAGGTCTAGCTGACTGCCTCAATTAATATTTTTGTTCGGTATTTACAGATGAAAATGAAGGAAAGGGACCTCAGTTAAGAAAAAGGATAAATGAGTCATTTATTACACATGAGTTTACAGAGGAAGAGGTTCTATTTCAACTGTCAAAAGTAAAGACAAATAAGTCAATGGGACCTGATGGAACACACCCAAAGCTATTAAAAGAGCTTAGTGGTGTACTAGCAAAACCATTAACAGATTTATTTAACCAATCATTGTTAACAGGAGTAGTCCCAGAAGATTGGAAGTTAGCGAATGTTGTGCCCATTTACAAGAAAGGTAATAGGGAGGAGTCGGGCAACTATAGGCCAGTAAGCCTTACTTCAGTAGTGGGAAAGTGATGGAAACCATGTTAAAGGATAGGATTGATGAACATCTAAAACACATGGATTTCAAGATCAGAGACAACATGGGTTTACTTCAGGGAGATCATGCCAAACTAATCTTATTGATTTTTTTGATTGGGTAACTAAAATTATAGATCAGAGTGGTGCAGTAGACATTGCTTACCTAGATTTCAGTAAGGCTTTTGACAATTGCACATAGAAGGCTTATCAATAAACTGCAATCTTTAAGTTTGGATTCCAATATTGTTGAATGGGTAAGGCAGTGGCTGAGTGACAGGCAACAGAGGGTTGTAGTCAATGGAATATATTTGAAGCTTGGACTTGTCACCAGTGGGGTACCTCAGGGATCTGTAATTGGACCCATTCTCTTTAATATTTTTATTAGTGATGTTGCAGAAGGTCTTGATGGTAAGGTATGTCTTTTTGCTGATGATACTAAGATATGTAACAGGGTTGATGTTCCAGAAGGGATAAGCCAAATGGCAAATGATTTAGGTAAACTAGAAAAATGGTCAGAATTGTAGCAACTGACAATGAATGTGGATAAATGCAAGATAATGCATCTTGGACGTAAAACCCAAGGGCAGAGTACAGAATATTTGATAGAGTCCTAACCTCAACATCTGAGGAAAGGGATTTAGGCGTTATTATTTCTGATGACTTAAAGGTAGGCAGACAATGTAATAGAGCAGCAGGAAATGCTAGCAGAATGCTAGGTTGTATAGGGAGAGGTATTAGCAGTAGAAAGAGGGAAGTGCTCATGCCATTGTACAGAACACTGGTGAGACCTCACTTGGAGTATTGTACACAGTACTGGAGACTGTATCTTCAGAAGGATATTGATACCTTAGAGAGAGTTCAGAGAAGGGCTACTCAACTGGTTCATGGATTGCAGGATAAAACTTACCAGGAAAGGTTAAAGGAGCTTAACATGTATAGCTTGGAGGAAAGACGAGAAAGGGGGGATATGATAGAAACATTTAACTAGGGAATCAACACAGTAAAGGAGGAGACTATGTTTAAAAGAAGAAAAACTACCACAACAAGAGGACATAGTCTTAAATTAGAGGGACAAAGGTTTAAAAATAATATCAGGAAGTATTACTTTACTGAGTGGATGCATGGAATAGCCTTCCAGCTGAAGTGGTAGAGGTTAACACTGTAAAGGAGTTTAAGCATGCGTGGGATAGGCATAAGGCTATCCTAACTATAAGATAAGGCCAGGGACTAATGAAAGTATTTAGAAAATTGGGCAAACTAGATGGGCCAAATGGTTCTTATCTGCCGTCACATTCTATGTTTCTATGTAAGAAATGACTCAGGAGTTTAATCTTGCACCTCCTGCAGCATCAGGTTTCTTATGTCTTGAGCCGCAGATTGCCATGGCAACGCTCCGTACGGCACCTAATGCATGTCAGGAGTGTTGCCATGGCAATCCGCGGCTCGCAAGATAAGAGACATGAAGCTGCAGGAGGTGCATGATTACACTCCTGAGCCCCTTCTTCAAAGGATACGTGTAACGGATCACCTGGTACCCCGACTGGGTACCTCCATTGAAGGATGCTCCTAGCGCTTCCTGAGGACTCCAAGCACTGCAGCAGACACCACAACCACCGCAGACTCCGCAACCGCTGTAGCTTGACTGGAGTCTCGCCGTCTTTCTTCCACCCTGGATCAGCTTCTGTCCTCCAGGACCGTGTGGGAAAGACCTCTTCCTTCCACCCTGTTTGAACCTCCAGCATCCAGGACTGTGTGGTGAAGACCTCTCCTCCAAGGAGAGCGTGTCAGGAACAAGCTCTTAAAAGAGCTAAGTGAATCAAGCTCAGGGGAGTATGCAGAGCATAGCAATCCCCAGTGTGATTATAACAGCTCCCTCCAATAACGAGACAAGGCTACGTTTAGAGGGATCAAGAAGAACTGTCTAAACCTTTATTTTCCTTGGGACCAGCCCATAGGATCACCACAATAACATTGTTGTGAAACCTCAATAAAATTACAAACAGTCAAACCATAGCAGGCAACAAACAGTGACTTATCACAACACAATGGCACATTTTTCAAGGGGTGGGGGAGACAATATTTAACAGTAAATATCCCACCGCTGCCACCAAATGTGACGGACCGCTGGCACTCCGAGTATCTCCGCCAATCGATGCTCCTAGTGCTCGCTGAGGACTCCAAGCACTCCAACCAACACCATCAGCACTGCAGACCCCACTTCCAACGAGGCAACTGCGCCGGGGTCTCTGCTGTCTCCACCCACCCTGGACCCAAGGCCAGGATCCAGCTTCCAGTGGGTGAACCTCTCTTTCCCCAGAGAGCAGGAACAGGAACAAGCTCTTAGCAGAACTTAGTGATCATACCCTGGGGAGTACAGTGATTATAGCAATCCCCAGAGTGTATTTCTCCAATCCCCCAAACATGAGCCAAGGCTTAATGCTGGAACACGACTGATTTACTGGCACACAGAACTCACAATTTATGCAACACAAAACTCCTCCTCTGGGCCAGGCTAGATAATTGATTATCTACAATACACAAAGCTCAATTATCTTCTGGCCAGAAATAATACAGTTTTTACAGCATTCATAACTTCTTTTTTTTTTTGACAATCTTTATTTTCAAGTT